CCATAAAGAAATAACTATCTTTTTATACACTCACACACATATTTGGGCAAATCCCTTAACTCTTTTTGGCCTCTATTCCTCTTCTGTAAATTGAGATAATTAAATTAGCATATCTGTAAACTATGTGTGTGTGCCTATATGTATATATTATGAACACATACATGTATAAATGTATCCCTATACATATGCTTGTATTTATAATTATATGTATTTTTACATCTTTTTATTTACACAAACAGAAGCATATACCATACCCAATGTTTTCACAAATAAATCATAAAGCTATGGAGAAATACATAGCAAAAATAGGGAATGAAGATGAAACATCCTTGGGTAAACTTTTTTTGCATACTTACATTGTATCTATATTTATATAGTATATCAATATTTAAAAAGTATGTCTATAAAAATTCTGGAAATGGGACTGCCAGGCCTAGGAATATGTTTTTAGATTTTTTAGATATTACCAATTTTCCCTCTATAGAACATGTAACAATTCAAACTCATACCCATAGAAAATATCTTTTCCCACAATCCCCAACAGTGTAAATTTGAAAGCTTTTTAATATTTGTCCTTCTGATAGCCTAAAAATGGTAACTGTTGTTTTATTTTGAATTTTGATGAGGTAGATCATGTTTTCCTATGTTTATAATCCAGCCATGTATCTTTATCTGGGAATTTCTCCTTTGAGTCTACAGCCCACTTTTTTAATGTGCTGCTGGTCTGTAGTTCATATATTTGTAAATACTTGCATGCATGAACATGAGCTCTTTGACCTTCATATAGGTTGCAAAATTATTTTATTCACCACAACCCCAGATTCTTCTTTGTTTCTGGTATATTCTTTATGTAAAATGTTTAAGTTTTATGTGTTAAAATGTATCCATTTGTTCCATCTTTTAGATTTTGTGTCAAAATTCTTAAAAAGTTGTTTCTTGTTTCCTGTAGTACTTTTACATTTTCAGTTTTTATTTTAAATCTTGAATCCACCTAAAATTTATTTCACCATTCCCAGGAGTGAGGGCGAAATCCAGCTTTCCTCCCTTCCAAGTGGCTAGCTACTTACTCCAACACAAGCAATGTTAATTGAATACACACTAGCATGTAAGCTTGCTCTATTCTGGCACAATGCAGGTTCTCAGAAATATTTGTTAAATGAATAATTGAATAGCATGTATTCATTCACTCATTCTTTCTACCCATAACATTGAGTTACCGACTCTATGTGAACACGACACTCAGCCTTGAATATAACAGAAGTGACTCCGAACCTGGCCCCAGGAAGCTTGTAGTAGAGAGGTATAGACAGGCATCAAATAAGTAATCATATAGCAATATTTTGGACAAGATTACCTAAAATGCTTCTTGTCCTGAATACCCAGAAATGCTAGATGAAATATCATGTTTTAAAATGCAGAGCTGAGCTCCAGGGAATCCCAAAGAGCAGGTGCTAAGAAAGAACTGAAAACCACAGAGGCTGCCCTGGGGTGATTTGTCCAGCTAATAGGACCTGGGTTCCAAAGGAACAAGATACAAGCCTTTGGGCAACTATATTTAATTAAATTGCAAAGAGTGGAACTCCTTGAAGGTTTGGGGGAAGATTTAAGTGCAACATATGAAACTTGTGTTCTAGCATTATTTGTTCTAACAGAATATCTATGAGGTCATGGACAAATAAATCCCTTTACTCTTTTTGGCCTCTATTTCTCTTGTGTAAAATGAGAGGATTGAACTAGAATATCTGTAAATTAAGTTTCAGCTCCAAAAGTCTAAGATGCTGTAATAGGAGGCCCCTTTAGAAATTTAATTTGGCAGCAGTGTAGATGGTGGATTAATTGCATTAGCTACCTGATCCCTGCCTCTGGGCTTGTTTCACCTACTAAGTAATTTCTTTACTGACCATACAAACTTTTCCTAAACAGATCTGAATTTTACCACATTTGAACATTTTCAATGGTTTTCCAGAACTTTCAGGCTAAAATCCAAAGTCCCAGGTTTAGCAAACAAATTCTGACTACCTTATACCACTCTAATATCCTCATCTAACATTTATCCTACATTATATTACAATTAACATTGTAGTATAATTGTTGGTTTACTTCTCTCTCCTAAACACTG